CCATGCTTTTCAACATTAACGATTTAATGGTTACCAATAAAAATCCACTGGACTGGGGGGTCACCAGGATCAGTGTCAGGAAAAATAATGCTGTAGAAATAGAAATTGAGGACAAATTTGAGGACAAAACTGAGACGTTTTCAACCAGAATACACTTACTTGTGATGCGTTTTGTTTAAGTAGCATTCCTTCCATGCCTGATGCAAAGCCTGATTGCTCAGTTTCCTCCCAGAATGCTTAGGGCTGGGAGTTGTGGTGCAGATGCCTCCTTCCTGTCCGGGAGAACTGGAAACCGTCGTCTGAAATCCAGTGTCATCTACAGCAACAAGTCAAGAAATATTATCATCCACTTCTCAGGAGCCAAGCACTTTGATATTTGAAAACGTAAAGCACCAATTGTCCTCAGAGTAGTGTCTTTGGAGATTTCTGATGTGATGTATTCAGGTCCAGAAAAACAACCACATACAGCAACTTAAAAAGTGCAGGTATTTTGGAAGACTGAATACAGTAGAAAAAGAAGACTCTGATAATACATTTGAACTTTCACAAAGAATGCAAATCACTTTAAATGCTGTGCACCCATTCATCAATATTGTATTTGTCAGTCTTGCCAGGTGTAGAAAACTGAACAGCGATGCAAAGTGTAAGTCATGGAGTTCAGTATCTGTATCCAGCAAGACACCACTGCACAACAGAGCGCTGTACTGAAATCCCCAGACTTCAGAGTGGGTCTCTATATTCTCCCTCTGCGTAAGAGGTTGGCAATAAAAACACACACCTGAATTACAGAGCGAATATTCTGTTCCTAAAGGCCCACCTTTTCCCTTCCAGCATAGTTCTTTACAATAAAGTAAAAAAGACTTAATTGAATTAACTGGTTACAACAGCAAATTGAATGGATTAAAAACCTTCAAAGGCATTGACAGACTATTTCCTGAAAGACAGGTAATTGCCTGCAGATAGTCACCACCTGTGTTGCAGATCTGGCTACATAACATCCATCTATTTTCTAACTGCTTCATCCAATTAGGATCACAGGAGAACTGCAGCTTGTCCCAGCAAGCAACAAGTGCATGGCAGGGTACACCCTGGACAGGACGCCAGGCCATCGTTGGGCACACACAGACATGGACACATCTAGACCAGGGCCAATTCTTCCAAAAGCCAATTACACTGCCAGTATTTCTTTGGACTGTGGGAGAAAACTGGAGCATCAAGAGAAGACACATGTGAACACAGGGAGAACATGCAAACTCCATGCAGATAGAACCCCAGGTCTGGAATTGAACCCAGGACCCCAGTGCTGCTAGGCAGAGATACTAACCACTACACCACCAAGCTGCCCTAGGTATACTGTCTAACATTCCCCTGTTATTTTTTTTTATTTTTGAAGCTGTTCAACTGTCAGCGGCCTTGCTTGCCTGAGCCTGTTGATGTCTGTGCTGTCAGGCTTGTTCTGTTTTTTTACTAGATTGCATCATCTGTCCCTGACCTAATTACCATACCATAGTGAGTGATTTTTTTCCGACTGCAAACAGAAATATAAAACAATGCCATCAATTACTAATTTCTGCTCCACGTAACGACAAGTTCCATAAAAACTGAGATTATTCCAAGCTCCAGCTTGTTTATGTATTCGTTTGGTCAATTTCAAGGTGACATCTTACAAAAAGCTCAAATGTCCATGCTACCTCTGCTACTGTACACAGCTGATACTTTGTTCCAAAACAAAGCAAAATCCTTTAAATCAACAAGGCGTGGCAGCTGCTTCCATATGGTATTTAAGCTGGAAAACAGCCTGTGTTCACTAAGGTAGCAGCAGTATAGCATAGCAGCATAGTGGATCAACCTCTGGATACCAAAAGGCTGTGGGTTCGAGTCCGTGCCGCAGTCACTGCTGGTGCACCTTGAGTGAGGTACTTTACCCCAGTTGCTCCAGTCCTCCCAGCTGTATGAGTAGGGACCAGCATTGCTGGGGGTGATTCCTGCAACTGATTGGCATCCCACTCACAAGCTCTTGTATGGATTAGCTTTTCACTTGTGTGAATATACTTCATGTGAAGGTTTACCACTGAGCTAAAAAGTATTCTACTTTATCTTTTTGCAAAGTTTTCAATACAACATATTATTAAGATAATTTCAGAACAGGGGTCATCTCAGTGCAGGGTACTATAATGACACTGTAGATCTTTAGATCTAGAAATGACTCCTTTCAAATCTAACTCATTTTCTTCTAACTCAGGGTTGCTGGGGATTCAGAACCTATCCCAACAAGCAAGGGGTGCAGCAAGGCAGGGTACGCCCCGGGACGGGACACCAGTCTGTCACAGGAACACACACGCAGACACACACTCTCACCAGGGTCATTTTTTCCAGAAGCAAATTAACCTACCCGCATGTCTTTGGATTGTGGGAAGAAACTGGGGCACCGAGAGGTAACCCACAAAAAACAAAGGGAGAACACACAAACTCCAAATGTGCTGTGATCCTAAGACATTTCTATTTTATTTAACACTGAATCACTCTTGTCTGGAGGTACCTGTGCAGGGTTGCTCTGGTGATGTGGGGGGTGTCAGGGGGACGCTGGCGTTTGAGGGGTCTCTAGTCGCCCCTTGTGACCCAGATACTGTGGGAGCCTGGAACATGGGTAAGTCCCCCTGGGCAACAAGCACAAAGGCTGCTGGATACACCATCCGTACACCTCCTGCATGGATGAAATAAAAAAAGGATGAGATGTGACATTGTGGAAAAGAATGGTGCAAGCTTTTGCAATATTCCCTGCTCAAAACCAGACCAATTTAGTTGTGATATCTAGTCTTAGTCCAGTCTTAAAGAGGTGCTTGGGAATCCGTACTTGTCATAATAAAAATTATCTTGTAGTTTGTGTTGTTCGTGGCATGCCTAACATTTTAGCACTTGTGATGATTCAGATCTACACAGCCCAGTATGCACATTCCACAAAATAAACAGAGCAATGGAGGGTTGTGAGAATCTAGAACAAGTTACCAGGCCTCACTTTCATAACTGATACTCTTTTAAGAAGGATGAGGTCATTGGATCAATTGCTTCCTAAATACCAAATGGACTAGAGGGACTGAATGGTTTCCTGTTGTTTGTAACCATTCTTATGTAATATACAGTATAGGGCCATCATTGTACTTCACCTACATATTATTCCACACTATGCACTCTCCTATATTGCCCTACTTCAGAAAAGACACCAGAACATCTGAAAGGCTTTGAAATGAGAGAACCTAATTAGACCCATTAAACTCTACAGTTCCCTAGTCTCGTACCCCAGACTTGTTGAACTGGTTGAACACCCCCAAGCATAAAATCCCCTTGAAACGCATCCTGGAAAAGGACAATGTAGAAAAGGAGACCACGGTCACCCCCAACCTGCGTATATTTGGGAGTTTCACCTTTTCCAAACATCTCCATGTCCACAAGGAGAAGATGCTCCACAAAGACAGAAGCCCTGAAACGGTGCTGAACTGAAACTCCTGGAACTGTGAGGCAGTAGTTCTACACATCATATCACCTGACATTCCCGTGTCTTTACAGTTTTTTTCCTGGCCCACCTAAAGCTTTCTTTGTTATGTAAAATCCAGACAAATAAATGATATAGTCTGGCCAACTTGATTTGGTGAAAGGAACATAAGACTATAATTATTAAAATTGGTTGTTAAATAATTATGTAAAAAATAAATACTACTACTAGTAGGAATTCATACTACTCCTTGTGGATTTAGTGATATTATCTTAATAAGTTAGTAGTTTAGGCAGAGGCACAACATAAATTACAAAAGTCAATAAACCAAGGTCAGAAAGTCAATGAGGCGATTGAAATCTGCTCTAAATCTTGCCTCCTAGCTACAGTAAACTTCCCTGGTCATACTGCTCACAATCCTCAAGAGTGATTTCATCTGGCGATTATATCCATTGACAAGAGGTCTCTCAGACATTGATTTCGCCACACGTCCAGTAAGAAAGCAATTTAAAGGCTGTGGGTCCTAGGATTTTGCTATGTTTTTTGCTTTGTTTGATGGACACATCTGATCAAATGCTGTTTGGGGATGAAGGGAGCAAGTTACTTACCAACAATGACTTCCACGGCCACATGGCTGTCGTTGTCATAGCCCGGCTCTGCGTCCTCTCGCTCGCTCTCCCTCTTCCTCAGCACCATGGGGTAGAAGTAACACCACTCCTCCATCAGCTTGCGGACCGCGGGATCGGACATCTTGTAGGCCTGGCCTGTGAGAGTCCCGTTCAGCCCATATGGGCTCAGGATCACTGCGGATAAAGCCGACACACGGAGTCAGGAAAAGTCATTCCTAATGCAAGAAGTTGTATATGGCTAATAAAGTGATCTTATCTGATCAGAATTTGTGGTAACTGGTACAAACAACTGCAACTGTAAATGCACTCCTTGCAGCTGAAGCGCAACCACATTTCCTTGTGTTTCTGCGACACTGGTTTTCGGCACGCCTCTGGCCATGGTGCACCCAGGCCAGGGCCCTCCGAGCAGGCTGGGTGCTCTCACCTTGGAAGGGGGAGGAGGAGGTCTGGGCGAGGGCGATGTGGTCCTCATTGATGCGGTAGGCCGGCTGGTGCCTAGCGATCTCCACGCTGGTGCACACGTTACTCTCCCCATGGAGGAAGAACGTGAAAGCGCAGGAGAGGTGCTCGCTTGGGGAAGAGGAAAGAAAGAGGCCGACAAGGTGAATGGAAAGGAAATGAAGTGACTTCGCCTGCGTTGTTCAAACTTTCCTTCACAACTGTACATCTTTTTTTTACTCTCTCTATGTGTGTGGCTGTTCTTTGTTTATTTTTTTGCGGGCGCGCGAATGAAGTTTGAGAAAGAAACTGCTTTTAAAAAGGCTCGAAAAAGCCGATGAGAACATTGAGCAGGGGGACTGGATCAGTGCAGCCCCATCCAGACCGCTTGGCACTGCAATAATGGGGCTTAGCGCTGCACTCGCTCGTTTCCCTTCTGCTGCTCCTGGCCACCACACTTCAAAGAGCCCTCAGAAGCTATTTGATCTGAAACACTAGTCTGAAAACAGCCTGAGCAGAGGGAAAACAAAACTATGCAGAATGATAGAAAATGCACATGGAGGAGCATGAAAGATTCAGAAAAAGAAGTCCATGCGATACCCATCCCGCAGTGCACACCACCTAAACCCCCCTGTTCTATGACCTGTCTCAATTACTGAACCCCCACTGAAGAGCTAACTCAAATTTCTGTCTGGGTCACTGCAGCACCATCCAGTAACTACGTCCCATACTTAACATTTTAAAACACGTCGTTCTGCAAAACACCCCTCGCAAGGGTGGCTCAAACACTAGCACTGTACACGATTCTCTTTTTTTTTTTTTGCACAGATTTTCGAGAACGACAGACATTCGGAGGCCACCCATCCCTGCAGAGGGAGCTGTACGCCCAACACAAAGAGCTCTGTGTTCGTGTTACATAAACATTCCTGGCGCTCAGCGGCGCACGGCTAAAACCCCAGCACGCGATCCACAGACGCGCACCGCCTCGCTCGGCGCCGTGTCGCGGTATAGATCTGGACCCTCACGGGAGATTCCCGCAACCTGTATTGGAATTATTGAAATGCCCAGGAGCAAATATGTTTCCCAATCCCGCTCTCACCCCTCCCTCACCACCCCCCTCCAAAAGCTGCAAAAAAAAAAATACAGTATGAGCATCTATTAATAGAAAAGCTCCAGCCTCAAGGGAATCATTTTCATGCAGAGCTGAGGGCCAGCCCACTACAGCAGATTGAGGCTGCGAGTGCATCTTCCTCCCATCATACAGCTTTGGTCATAAACAAGATGAGTGTGAGTTTCCAGCCCTGTTGTTAAGGGCTTAGTTTGAAAGGAATGCTTTGTTGTCTATAGGGCAGTGAATTAATGCCTAACAGATTAAATTTTTGCACCGCCGTTGAATGGGTCGTTTGCCACTTATATAGCTCCAATAAATGTTTGCTGCCAGCGGGAAGTCGAGCTTACATTTGCCTTTACTTTGATTGTTTTTTGTCTTTTGGTTCGTGCACATGTTTTAAATATTGTTGAGTGCAGATAATCGCGACATTCACATGCAAATGTCAGCGTACGTATTAGCACCTTTAAACTGAGGAGAAAAAATACATTTCAGCATTGTATTAAGTTTTTTAACACTAATTTCTGTAAGTGTACTTATTTGTTGACTTAATCGTAGTAAGCAGTAGTTAAGGTATTCTAGTGGATTAATTAAAAATACAAGTTTATAAAATTTAGGCTAATACTGAGCATGAGAACTGCTGTGGGAAATTCCAAATTTCATTTACTTTTTTTTACTGTTCTGTTCTACTGAGATTATTACAAATTAAAATGCATAGCCAATAGCCATACCTAGTTAAATCAAACCACTTACATAGGAGTGCTAGTATATACTGTGAAACAAAATGACAAAATCAGTAGGTGAACAGAAGTGATCTGAAAAAAAACAAAAACTTTTTAAGGGACTTCGGATAAAAAGTAACACAATTCATCTTCCCTGTTTCAAAAACAGAGCATACCCTTTCCAGAAATGTAGTAAGGCAGACAATAGTGAAAAAATGCATGACAAAACAATCTTTAAAATCTACTTTCGTCCTGCCTGACCTCTGTGTGACCCCATGGTGACCACTTCATGATCGTCCCAATGGCTATGACCAGCACTTTGCCTGTTGTTGCTGTAATGACTCACTGCAGGACATTGTTTTCACAATTCAGATTTTGTTCTCTAAAACCAGCCTCACTTTCCTGGGATTTATCTGACAATTACTTGAACTGGCACTCATTCTCCGGTATATAAAATATTAACTTCACTGTATCTCTAAATTCATCATCTTACGAATTCCAGGGTCATAGAAACAATGATAAAAAAAGGGTCAAATCGCACAATCAGCCACCTGCTTCCATTTCTCTTTGCTGATCTGCATGACTTGAGTCAGCTGTTAATAAGCAGAACTTCAATGAGAATTCAGTTTTAAAGTCAATATCGGGCACTGTCAAGCCATGCTGATAGCATCCATTGATAAAGCACGACCGCATCCCTGTTGGAAAGCAGAAGAGAGGGAGCCTGGTGGATACTTTTATTTTGGAAGATACCACAATCTGGAGGAGCACTAACATTCCAAGAAAGAAAATACACTGAACCTATTTTTTTCCAAATAACATAATAACAAAGGAGAAAAACTGAAATTGCCATTCTCTGAGCTCAGAGACTGTGACCTATTTACCATTCGGTACACAAATATATACAGTGTTCCGTAAATGGCGTAATATCTAAAAACACTAAATAAAAGACTTTCAATGAAAAAGCAGGTGGGGCACTTGTCTACAGCTGAAGGAATTCTAGGTAGGAGAATCATGGTGAATTATTCATTGTGGCACATTTCTGATTTCTCCACACTTAGCTGAGATCACAGCACAGCTTAATGGGCTGGTGCTCTGTGCAATTAATGCTTTTATGTTGAAATCAATCAAGAGACAGAGAGCAGCAGCTTGGTCCTTACACCGTCATTCCATTTGCGTTCCCCTGAGGGCAAGCACAGCCTGCCGTTAAAGGTGCAGCGATATTTACAGCTGTCATGAGAGCCGCAGCGTACAATCCCCAGAATCACAGGGGTGTAGCAACTATTTCTGATCAGACTTTCTGTGCTTTGTGGTTAGAAATTAAACATTTTTGCACAGAGTTCCCTTTCTGTCCAATATGAGTCCCCCACTCTGGCCTATCAGGAATTATCGATACAGTAGTTAGGACACGCTGATGGGGTCGCACGCTGTACATTGACGGTTAGTAAAAGACTGCATCGGAGACTTCGGAACAAAACACCGAAGGCGTATCTGCTTTGTTATGGCTGTCGGCTGAGACGTGAAAGCTCCATCTGAGAACCTGCTGTGCAGTTTGGAGGCTTCGCATGGAGAGGCATGTGGTAGAAAACCCCTGCACTTCTTTGCAACTGCACTGTAGACCCAGGATTCACCCTGCTTTGCTTTTGTCCAAAGGCAACTGCCAGAACCCCAGCCCCCTTGAGCCTCACTTTCACGAGGAGAGGAAAGAGAGGAGAGGTTGGTTTCTTTTAGCAGTGTTCTGGACAAAACACACAACATTAAGCCACATTGAACAGACAGAACTTTCAGGTCAGTATGTCCTTTAAAATCAAAACTGCACCTCCCCGTGTAGATATCTCAGGAATCTCTAACACGGGCCAAGCTCTTAGGGTTCCCCCTCAAACAGTAAACTGAACCAGTGACCTTTGAAAAATTGATACTATAAACTACTTCAAGGCACTGGATTGAAAAAAAAAACAATATCCCCTTTCCATTATTTTTGGAGTTTTGTGTACTTTTAATTCTGGTCTTGTCTCACTACTAGAGAATATCACCCTAATTTGAACACACTCTCCCAAATCAAGCCAGTTCAGTTACAGCTGCTGCTACCGGGCAAAACTGAATGTAAAGCAAATATGTGGCAACACCCCCTGACTTCTTACCTAATCAAATAATCCAAGAATCAAAATAAAAAATATTCTGAACCAGATTTAAAGGGCAAATGTTTGAAGTGGAAATTTAAACATAAGAAAAGGTTATAAATGATCTCATTTAGACGCTTCTTGAAAGAAGCCAGCATATAGGCTTCAACAACATGAATAAATAACATATATATATACACATTATAAATCATTAATTGCACCATGCAATTATTTTACAACAAATGGGAAAAGGAAAAGGCTATTTCATCTGAATCATTGCACTGCACTGCACTGCACCGATTTTGCAGAACAGTTCCCAAAGTTAAAACCACTATTTACAACTTGTACTGTTAAGAGTTATTTCATTAACTTAATCTCCAGCAGCAGTCGACTTGCATGCCCCAGTAAGTGTTACAAACTCACATCAGCAACAGAAGGTAGAGGAGGAACTGTGTAAACAGGTTGAATAGCACAAAATCGCCATGTCCACTGTCGACCATGCCTAGCAGCGCTGGACGCTATATTGCACTTCAGTTACAGCAGCACAATACAAATGCAGCTCATCTGGGAGACAGCAAAGGGCTGAGTGAAGTCCCTTGGAAGTGTTTCTGGGTGCGTTAACTTAAAGTGCACACGTTGAACACACAACGTGGCACAATTAGTGCGAAACTCCCGAGAAGTGGTGTGTCCTTCTCCACCCCCCCCCCAATTTTCTCCACTTCACTGAGGTAGCAACATGATGACCTTGCAATGTAGCCTGACACCCAGAGTCCGTTGCCAGGGAGACGGCTAATGTCTCAATGTCATTGGCTTCACTCCTGGCCAGAGATGAAGGGAAACAAAACGCATAGGCATACACACCCCGCACACACACACACACACACACCAAGACTGCTGTGCTGTGGCGTTATAAAAATAGCTGCATGCTCCCATCCTTCAACTGTCTTTTTAATGCTTAATTTATAGAAACAACCCCCTCTCCCTTCTTACTCTCTCTCCTGCACCCTCTCTCTCTCAGCAGACAAGCCACCTCTAAGTAAGACTGATGCAACCGGCAACCAACAAATACAAATTGCTTTCAGCAGCAAAACTAAAACTGAACTGCTATGGTTCAAGGTTAGGGGCCCTGGATGATTGAAATATTAATTTCATCCCTGCAGACTTGGGGTGCAGATCCTCATTATCTTCTCGCGTTTAAGCACCGATGAGTGAAATCAAACATCCCCTAAACGTCTGCTGGTGTAAGGTACAGTATGTAATGGTAATTTGGCTCAGAGGTTTGGAAGGGCAGAAAATCAACCTGTGGTAAACAGACCCCCTCCATTAAAACATCTATAGGAAAATATGCGCACCCTCATCCCAGAGAACTATGAGCTGATTTGCCATTGTATCCAGGACCTGGGTAGGTTGATTGATGGCTACGTTGGGACAGAATCTTCTATTTGAGTGGAAAGGGAGGGCGAATTTTTTTTTTATCCGTATTCAAAGTAATTTTTCATTATATCTTTCCAGTATAATCCACTATGGACCTTCACCATGTGGTAAAGTCCATAGTGGATTATACTGGACCTTAATGCCATGGCACTGGGAAAGGGGGGTTTGAAGATACCCTGGGGGACCCAGTCCTGCCCCGGCCCCAGTTGTACTCACCTGGCTGTGCTCTAACCATACTGGAAATCAATAACACAGCTCAAACGCAGACTACAACCACCTGGACAGCAGGACTCTACAGCTGCAGAGCTCCTCTTGAGCTACAGAGGAGCCCCTGACAAGCACTGTTTTACAATTCACAGCCAGCCCATGGACTTTTGTTCAAAGAGAATAAACACATCGCACTCCATTTATAACCCCACAGCATGCCTCGAGTCTCCTATGAAGTTGAAACCAATTTAGAAATTGGTGGCCTGATTACAAATCTAGTCAGAAAAATGCCTGGAAGTAGTGAAGAAACGTGATAGGTTTATGTAATTAGCAGATATGCTAATGTTGGACACTCGGCATCGCTCACAGAGTTGATGATGTTTTAATGCATTTTGAACATGCTTTGACGCCGATATAGTTCCTGATCAGTGCAGTTCAGCAAAGGTGATTAGTAGTGTGTACGTACTGTACATATTTGCCTTTTGTGGTAAACATGGTAAAAAAAAAGCAGAATGTAAAAGGCTGCCTGTACTCTCCCCTGCTTCTCTCCCCAGAGCTGCCTTCTCAATAATTCACTGACTCGCTCTCACACTCTCACAGTAGGGAGGGGCCTGGACTGACAGCGCGCGCAGACAAAGCTGTCAAACCGCGGAGAATCGAGTGGGCTCACTCGTCTCTGCCTCCACACTCAGTCGGAGTGGCAAAACCTGCAGTAAGAGCCCCCCGCCGCCCTCCCCCCACCCTCGCCCCCTCCAGAGTCTCCTCGCAGCTCGCAGCTCGCTAAATCACAGCTCGCTGGGAAATCCCTGTGAGCCCCAGCGCGATCATTAGTAAGGTAAACTCCCCTCCCATTGTTCTGAGGAAGGCTGCAATTTACACTACCCACCCAGGCGATGCTGTAACTCCATTGTACATGGGGACAGCGATCCCCTCCTCTTTCTGTAGCTGAGGGCTAGAGCACTGCCATTGACTCTCCCTCCCACTGTCACAGGCTGCTCTCACACTCCTACTTGTAACACACTCCTACACCCTGCCTGGCTGGCTGGTGTCATAGGCAGTGCTGTACACTCGCTCTCTCTCACCTTCAGGTATAACGCGCAGCTCAGAACGCTGTTAACTCAGCAACCACTCCCCCCCACCGCTCCAGCAACCATCTCTCAGACTCCACAGTAAAAGGCTATGATCTACTTTTATTCCCATGCTCTCAGGCTCTCATATGATAAAAGGCTGCTACGGTCCGCTGTGCTTCTCCGATGTAATTTATGCTTCCCCATCAGTCCCTGACTCTCCATCTCCAACAATCTGTTATAAAAACGTAAAGGCTAGCTTGCGCCCTCGTATTCCCTCCTCTCTCAGGCTCTTGGCTGTACTGCAACACTGTGATCCATTTCCATCTCCTTGGTGCATGAGAGAGGGCTGAGAGATTGTTCCCCATCCCTCACTCTCTGCTGAAGCACAGACAAAGGGTTTCTCACCCTCAGCGGCTCAGGCATCGCACAAGATTGCCATTCCCTCTCCCTCTCTCCAGGAATGCCTCTTTTGGAATTCAAGGCAGCTCCACTTCCCTATTCTCTCCATCTCAGGCTCTCAAGGCACTAGGATTACACTAGATTACACTAGCTAGATTACACTACTCTATACAAGTACGCTATTTTGTAAGGGTCCCACTTTCATAGTCTGAGATCTAAAAAAATCACTGCTTTGTCTCCTTACTCAATTTTTCCTTCCTCTCCCACCAGACCCCAGACAAAGATAAAATACACTCACTGGACAAAATATTAGGAACTCCAAACACATAATGTGCTTTGCTTCTACAAGCAAAAAGTACAAGTTCCACATACATGTACCATGTGCACTCATCTCTCGATTTACAAACATAATTTGTTCCTCAAAAATGGTTCATAAGGTGAGAATTTGTAAACAGAAAACAAAATTCCCATTAGGCCTTGTGATTCATACTGGCGGTTTAGAAAATCACCTGGTCTTCCTTGTTTTTATCCTATTCTTGGTAACTACTCTACTTACCCTAGTATAGTAGTTACCAAGAGAAATACACAAGATAAAATGTGTAAAAATTCTAACGACACAGATATATGAAGGACCTCTGCTGTGGAAGTTCATGATATGAAGATGAAGTATTCTATTTGACTATGAAAGATGCATCTTCATTGTACAGGAATTCTGTTAGTAACCAACAACAACAGGCAGAAAAAAAGCATCCTTCATTTAAGGAAAAATAGGCTTATAAAGTGATATTCAATCTTACTGGGAGTTACCAACATCTCGCTCATTAAATCTTGGTCAGTTAGACTGCCTCTGTCATTACAGTCAATGAAACTGCAAATTTAATCAAGCCCACCCAAAATGTGGAAAACTCTCCATTTTAATGAGCTGTCCACTCATCATTCCAACAATTTCAGGCCCCGGGATTTTCAGTTATCACTGTAATTACTAGTCAGAGCACAATGACATTAACAGTTGTATCTGTCGACTCCCTACCTGTTGTTGAGGTTCTTTTCCTCGGGCTCATATGGCTTGACAAACCATTTCCCAATGCGCACAAAGTCCTTGTCCATCAAGCACCTGTGAAAAGAAACCCGTTTGGCGACATGAGTTAATTAGGAAGCAGATTCCCTCACATCGCAATGCCTGTAAGGAGGATGAGAACACAACTCATCATCGGGAGTCTTCCTACACCAAAGCTGTAGGACACTTCTCATGCAGGATGGCTTCCAAAGCTTTTTAATCCAATGTGACGCTCACGCCAATTTTGTTTCCCTGTTGATGAAGCATACTTGCGTTTCAGAATTACTATACTGACACACAAAAAAATGCTCAAATCTTATGTATTTAAATTAATCAAATTCAAATATTTTAAAAACACATATTTTAAACACCCACCCATAGGTTTAGAGGGCGGCAAAGGTGGCATCTCTGCCAGGTGCTTCAGTTTTCAGGATGTATTGGCAGGTTATTTGGCATCTGGGAAAACTGGCCCTAATGTGAGTGTGTGCATGTCCCCGTCTTGTTTGCCCTGCGATGGACTAGTGTCCAATCCAGCGTGTATCCATTGTTTGCCAGGATAGGCTTCTGTTCCCCCGCAATCCGGTATTGGAAAAGCGATTAGAAAATGGATGGATGAATACATTTTTCAGTATGAACCATGGTTCACAATTTATAATGTTACACATTGTCTTAACAACACTTTATAATAATGTAATGTTTCTTTATTAGCCCTTTGCAATGTCTTGCATTAGGAATTAGTTTTTACGCATATCCTAGCTTTTCTCCATGGAGACACAGACACACAGACAGGGAGTGAAGCTTGGGGTCAGAGCGCAGGGTCTGCCATTGTACGGCGCCCCTGGAGCAGTTGGGGTTAAGGGCCTTGCTCAGGGGCCCAACGGAGTAGGATTCCTCTGCCAGCTGCAGGATTTGAACCGGCAACCTTCCAGTCACAGGCGAAGATCCTTAGCCACAGAGCCACCGCTCAGCCCTACTCTACTCCGCCCTACTCTACTTTAACATGATCCTTACATTGTTGACAGACAGACTTGATCTGCCTCAAGACAGATAACTGTAGGATATGTTTCTCTTCCTGTGCAGTTGCAACCAGTTTGTTTCTAGGTAATCTAGTTCTTTCATGTTGATGGTAGTAGTGAGTTTTTCCAAAGATGTTCTAATTGAATAGAATAGGAGAAAAGGCAGTACACATTACGACATTGACACTAAAATTGTGTCATTGTAATCCCAGTAATGTGCAATCTTGCATTGTCCTGCAAGACCTGGGAAAAAACTACAGTGTGAATCTCTCTCACCCCCTTCAACTCAAAACCACTGCTAACATTACGACAGCAATATTAACAATAACAGCAATTATGAAAAAAGATTAACGCTTTTTGTGATATTTAAGAGTCTGGTGATATTGTTGATTGTAAATACTTCTTCGATAAAAGTATTTAAATTGTTAATACCGAAGCAACAGTTAAGCTTATTGTTAAAAGGACAGCAATGAAGTGCTCAGATCTGAGAGGGTTGTCTTATTTTAGCACTAGTGGGATAGGAGCATTTAATCTTCTGTCTTTACCTCCCCTGACTTTGAACACAATTTATTTTGTTTGTGGTGAGAACATTATTATTGTTACAAACAAGAGGAGGCCATTCTGTGAATAAAGCTTGGTGTTAGGTAACTGAGCCAACAATTTAAGCTGGTTAGTCCCTTCAACAACATGACTGAGTAGTATGGTCCAGTCTCGCAACCTTTTGTGGGAAAAGAGATTCTTCCTCTCAGTTTACATTTGTATTTTTATGTAGATTAGACAGTATTTGTGACCTCAGGGTCATGTTTCACTGATGATTTTGAAGAAGTCCATTTTGAAGTTTATGAAGGCTCCCTTGTAGTTGCCTGTTCACAACTAAAAAACAGTTAAATTATTTTATCCTAGCAGGGTAGAACATTTCTTTGAGGCCAGGAATGTATTTGGTCATTTTTTGGACTGATTACAAAGCTGCAAAATCTTTTTTTGGAACATGTGACCCAAATTGTACACAGTAGTCTAAATGAGGTTTTACTAGTTCTGTAGTTTCATCTAATAAAAAACTTCTTTCAACAAAGCTATTTTTAATAAACAATAAATCTAATCTTTAATTACATTATGTTATTCCACATTCACAGACAATTGCTGTTGGTTTGCTGTGGACTGGTTCTGATTCCCAATGCATGTCCAGAGTAGGGCTTTTTTAGTGCAGTGCTCTGCTCTCAGTGGGTTTGAAAAGTGCAGGTCATTTCCAAATCTAAATGTTAAAAGACTGCATTTGTTCCAAAAGGTGATTAACATTTCATATACCTAATGTTGAGTTATGACATGTTGAAATGTTGAATGTTGAAAACTGACAAGAAGATGCATTATTTTATTACAGGAGATTCTAGTATGTGTGCATTATCTACAATAGAAACAAGGACAAAGCCTACATAAACAGTAATAAAGGGTCAGCAATTATCACTTATTTACCATGATGCATCTCAGCAACTAGAGAATCACGTCTCTAGTCCAGTTGAGTGGCTGACAGGACCTACAACTACATCACAAAAACAAACTCCTTTTTAATAGTCAGGTGATCCTGACAGCCATTAATATACCAGGGCAGATCTCTCCCAGATGGTGACCTTCTTTTTCCTCATTGGCTGCATGCTAATACTCACTGCTGCTAGTGCTGCCTTCTCTACCAGCTCAGACTCACAGCTTTGTGAGCTAATATGATGTGAAGAGCTTAGAGGGAACCCCCATAGCACAAGTGTAGGATACCTTGAGGGAAAGTGAGGAAAAACTCAAATAGGAAAGCTGACACTTCCAGATTGACTTGCAGGAATGGAAAAACCGTTGGCTCTAGGACATCACGATGTTTCACTGAGCAGTAAGGCTGCCCTCAATCGGCACCGATGAGATTCCTCTTCACACATCTGCCAGCTAGCTTGAACATCAACAGGTCAACATATCGCTCACTACTACAAACACTGTCTTCAGTTCAATCTGTCAAGGTCAATTGACTCAGTTGTTCTGTGGACCACACAAGACAGTGGTTTTATCTCTTAGCTGACATCAGCCCTGCACTGCCTCCTAGTATGCAGATCAATTTCAAGATGGCAAGCTCCAGTCATTGCACTGAAGTGCATGTTATTTCTACCTGGAATTTCTTGTGCAGTAGCTACAGCCGACTGAAAACAATTACAGATGGATCAGATGAACGTGACAGTCCTGGGACAGTGTAACAACCCTCTTTCTTCCAGAACTTATTGTCTAAGTTAGAACATTAGTGTCCAGAACTAATTTTCCTGCACCCAGGAACATTTCCTACTTTCTCTTTTCTGCCGACAGCAGAAGCAGAACACATTGTTCTTGAGACCACTTCTCTCACAGATAGGCCGCCTACAAACATGCTGACAGCAACCAAGATATCTTTTCCCAGGCAGGATCTGGTCCCATCTTTCACTGTTCTAACATTAATTAAAATGTAGTCTTTCTGATTAGAATGTGTACAGATTCTTAACTCAAAAACAAACACTGTGCGCCTGGAGTATTTGTGAAATCACACAGTATGTTGTTATTCCAAGAAACAGTACTACTACTCAATAAATAAACATATCTGCTTACTCTTCAAATAAAACATTCTGTATGTGCATAATGAGTTACCGATATAAAACCTAGACCTTTGTGTGTTCATCATGCATCAGTATAGGTTCTACAGTGCATGTGTCATTCATTCTATGAGGGACAAATGGGTTGACAATCAGCTTCATAGTCCATAAAATTGTTTTTCTAAAGATACATCCATCCAATTCAAACTTCTTTATCCAACAGGAGGTCACAGGGGACCCAGAGCCTATCCTGGCAAGCCTAAATGCACATATTATGATGATATACTGAGAAGGTATTAAAGAAATTAAAATGGGAACCAAAGGCATGTGCGAAGTTGATGTATTCATCTTTCCCATCAAATTGTAATTTAATTTATGGCACTCTACGAATGATCATATTGAATACAATTCTTTAAACATCAAATGGATCATAATAAGTATTATGAGCATAAGCACTTAAAAAACACACACTGGGACAAGTTCGTCCTTTTGTACCCCGTCCGTCTCTTTTTAACTTTCTCTGGGAATCGACGTTCTCTTTCGCTTGGCCCTCGATTTTTAATTAGCTTTCTAAATAACCAAGACATCGCTCAGAAAATCTGTGACAGTAAAGAGGAAAGAGCTAATGAAATAACATCCTTGAAACGAATCTTTAATCCCCCTGTCCCTGCTAAGTGGCTCATTATTTTGGTAGAATGTTTCCTATGGCCCTCGCGCGGCTGTCAGGGAGCCTTGTAAGCCGGCTTACCTCTCAAGCAGGTTGTGGATTGCCTTGAAGAGCAGTGTCCTGCATTCATACGACAGCCCGCTCTCCCATAGGCCTTCCTCCGCCACTGAAACACACAGAGCAGCACAGCTTTCATCAGCAGAGCTCATGGCAACCGCAGCAGCCCTCCACAGACGTGCAGGGACTTCCACCCCTCTTGGATCCCACTCAGGATTGCTCTCCAGACAGTACAAGGCACAGTGCAAGTCTGTAAGCAAGGCAGGCCACTTCCGGTCACCTGCCCTGCTTTCCAAGGCGAGATACTGGTTTTGTGGGGCTGCCAGCACACGTTCCCCTTTCAGGCAGCTCAGATGAAGATAAGGGAGAAGTGGGAGAAAATAACGAATCATTCTAAATTTGAAAAGGGCTAGATGAAAATATAGAAACCAAAAATAGAAACAGTATTTATTACACACTGCTGCTGGATGACCACATTGAGCCCGCAACGTCAAGTGTTGTCTGAACATACTCACTCAGGGACTTTAGCTATTTGATCCAGGGATGTTGTCTGAAAGACTTGATTAAGCCAGCCTGGGACACTCGTACCAGACATCCACCATTTGTTTCTAAAAGTGTTTCCTAATCTCACTCTTAATTTACCGCCTCTTAATTTCTGTGTCCCCGAGTCCTCATTTCATTGATCTTGAATTTCACTTTTCTGAAGTAACCCATTGGATTAATTTAGTCCAATACCTTTTAGGACTTTGGTCATCCCCTGGTTGAAGCCCTGACGTTCGATTGATAAATTCCCTCTATGCGCTTTGAAAAATCCCACTGAATAATGTTCAATTCATATGAAAGAGAGCAACGTTGTTTCATAGTCCCTCCTAACACAGATCTGCTGGTAGAGGTGTCTAACAGTGTTTTCCGTTTCATCCAAGATCATGGTTTCTTTATATAATTTAATGAACTGAGCTGAAGAGTTCAAGGATTCTTCCAGGCTTCAGCCTGGAGTTTATGTGCACTGCACCTTCAATAAAGGTATCTTTTAAATCATCAACAGTACCTGGGAATAATAGGTTAAGTATGTTCACTTAAGCATATAATTACATCAATTCAGCTATTCAAACAGAAGAAGGCTGCCAGGATCCTACTGCCCCTGATGACGAGAGATTGACAGTGGGAACCTACAGTGTTCTTCTGATTACTGCCTCCCCAACAATCAAATTAATTCCTCAGTTTTGTTGTGTCAAAAGCAGCTCTTCTCAGCTGCAGACGAGGCTGTCATTTCAAAACATTGTGCAACGTCAGATCAAAATAAACTCTTTTTCTCCGTATCCTTTAATACGGGCAAGTCCCACTAAAACTGGGTGGACAGGAGGGGTATTTATTCATGAGCAGATAGTCCATGGAAACTCATAGCATTTCAGGTAAGTATCTACAGCACAACAGCAAGAGTTCCCTTTTCCCAGTCACAATTTCTCCTCCATACTGTAGTGAATGAAAAGCTCCATATTTACTTGCCAGAATTCCCTAGTAACCATGGCAACGTTCTCTGCAAGAACACATCCCCCCACCTCCCCCATTCCTCCCCCCCCTTCTCTTCCAGCTTCAGGGCTCAGACAGGAAAGTCTAGTCCAGCCAGATATTGTACTGGGAAGACGTATCCATGAGCAGAATGCCAAGAAAATCCACCTCATTAGTCTGTCCTTCATATTTTTTAATCCCATCTACATGCTGGTTTTTCCGCAGCAAGGATGGGCCGGCACTCCTCTTCACCAGCACTTGAGAGACCACCTCCACAAACTGTGACCTCACTTGTACCTTGTGAAGGTTTCCCACTTGGCAGAGATGACTCACCAAACTCTGGCTTTGTTGTCCAGATCTCTGCATCGCAAAGTCCAGCCCCCCGGACCTCTGGGAAAATGAGTTCTCCCTTTCCTAGCTGGTCAGAGAAGGCTGTGTTTACAGCTGAAATTCAGAGGAGGCCCTGAAACTGATGTATCGATATTGTAGCACTTCTTTCTTCCTATTATTTTCATCTTCTTCTCACATTTTACTCATTCCATTTCTAGAAAATCATTTTCCTTTCTCCAGAAAACTCTTGCTTAGATGTGTGTTTGCCCACACTTTGAGGAAGTGTCTAATGTATCCCATGGTTCAGTTAACGAGGAACTTTTAAATGTAATTTTATTAGTCATACTAGCTATTGATGTTAGCACTTAGATTATTATTTTTTACAGTAACTTGTGAAATCCATTCCATTTAAAATTGCTTTTATAATACACTCAGTGAAGTGAACTACTGATATGTGACAAAGATTTAAATCCTCTCAAATGGACAGTCTTTTAAGAAACTAATTACCTTCCCCTGTTACAGCACTTAGCCCTTCAGCTTTGAAGAACCTTTAACTCAAAACAGTTAGCATGAAAAAAATTTATTTGACTCGTGAGTTAGGCTCAGCTGAGCAAATAAATGTATCTCTTGGCTGATATAATTGCTACTCAGAATCTGAAGATCATGCTGTCTACTGTGTTTTTAAAAAAATAATGGTTTAATCGTTTAAGAGTTGGAACTTTATAAAGGCTTTGTCTTCTAAGATGCATACAGATTTCAGATTATAATGTTAACATAACAGTCAACTGAATATTATGTAATTCCATTGGTATGCGATTATACTGTATTTGCTCCAAGCTAAGAAGTACAGAGGCAAACCAAATTGATGCTTATCTTAGATACAAATTTTGATTGTTTTCCAGGGCACTTCACTAATGTGCAAAATGTGACTTGTTCTTAAGCACATGCCTTTTCTATTCGGTGCAGTTTGCTTTTTACTTTCTTACATGTGAAGTTATTTCAGTTCTTTGTTTTACAGAGCGCTCGCAAAAGCTGGGCACTCCAGTTCTTCCTGACCCCATTATATTTGGGTGAAAGAAAATCTAACCAGGCTAATCAAACTTTGAAAGGCTTGGGAAAACAAGCGGCAGGAAATACTTGATGGCACTGGCTGGAACCGTGACTGACCCATTCGAGCGGACTGGTGTGTCAAGAGATAGACCAGGTAAATTACCCACTTACAAGCTGGGAGTCTGGTAGAAAGTGGCAAGAATCTGGTCAGACACGTGTGCCTTGGGGTGGACAAGTATGAGGGCGTCACTAATGGCGTGTTGCTGCAGAGTTGTGTGCAAGCCACACTAGAGGACAGGTTCTTCCTTCGGCAAAGTAGCAAACCCTAAATAGCCATGTGTACATGATGGCACTCCTACACCCAGCATATTTCAGTGTGGAAGCTTGCTCTCCTGTTTTTGAGAAAGCAGGAAAGCACAGAATGACACAGTGGCACCTCTTCTGAGCCTCTGTGAAGTTCCAGAACTTGATAAACCTAGAGACCTCACTGATCCTCTCTCACAGACACCACCACACGAAGGGAATCGTTGCAACGACCACAACCCCTTCCATACGGTCGGACGCTGCACAAGAAAACTAAAACCAGCAAAAGCTCATGCGGCCACACTGTCATGCTTCTGTTTAGAGCAGCTCCTGCAACTTGTAACAAAATGGTTCGTGATGGTTGATCACTAAGCAGGTGAGACGTTCCCAATGGCTGTATTCCTCTGCTTGATGGCCTAGCTGTTGGCAAAGCGGGTCAAGACAAGCCAGAGTCGGAGTCTTTAGACTTTTTTCGGGAAAACTCCTTGATGAGTCAATACATGCACCTTGAGAAGGACAATTTATGACACAGAGGCATGAACTGTACTGAGGGAGAGCTGGGCAGCTCCTGGTTGCATCCATTCCCTTTTAAAAACCAGCTACAGCGAATTTGGAAAAACACCCCTTCACACTTCTATCTGGACCCCACCAAGCCTTCTTTAATGTGCTTTTACGTTTAACTTACGTCTTCAACATTAACAATGGCATTGACAACAGTTCTGTAGGACTAGGGGTGACTTAGACCTTGGAACAGTGTTGCAGTTTTTAAACGTGAGGTAGTTTGGGTATTATGTTCTACTGCATTTCCAATTACTGTCTGCTATGATGTATGAATTCTGCTGTATTTGCTAAAACATGTGCTTGCTTTTAGCAGCATTAAAAGGTGTAGCTGAAATGATTCAGCTGCCTGCCTGACCCTCAGGCTACAATTCATAATGTAGCAGTTCTACAGGTGTAGGTCTGAGGCTACTGCCTATTCATTTTACACACCAGGCTGCTTCTCTGTTTTCCATATCTTCCAACACCTCTCTAGCTATTTAGTTTACAATTTGGGTCAACTGGTTTCTAAGCCTGGACTACACAGGTATCACCCTACCAAACCTTTACAAAGCACATCTACTGGGATAAAGCAATTTTTAAAACAGGCCCCTGCCTCACCCCTCAAAGGGCTTTATGGAAAATGATTATACAAGCAATAGCAAATTTGCTGGTGAGCTCACTCCACACCAGAGTTAGGTCAATACAAGAATAATTCCCTTAGAGGTATTTCAGAAACCTGTTCTCTGCTCTTCCCAAATCAAGCTTCATTCTTATTCTCAGAATTCACACACCTACAGTCAGTAACTAGCACTGTTGCCCCTAGGGATAAGCCCAGCGTAGCATAAGATATCAATATCTAACACAAATAAAATAAGCAGGAGAGATTGAATTCATCTGACCGTGTGGTTATAATTTTTGATAACTCGTGTACAACATACCAAATTAGTATGTAAATCAGCCCTAAGCACTGGAAACTTGTCACAGTACACATTCAATATGAATTATTTTGTGGACTCTGAAGAGTGTCAGGTGTGTAGGGAGAAGTCAGAGCACAACTCAGGGAAGTACTGGTGTAAATTCGTTTTGGTGTCTATTCTGCTCTAAAATAGCATCCTTGTCAAGGGATTTTTATACAGTAATTCAATTCATAAGATAAAGGAACTAAATTCTTCAGGTGAAATAAATATAAGATTGCTTTAAAATCTCAAATGTGTGTGGATGAATATGGGATTACAGGACTGTTCTGACATGCCAACAAGTAAGAATCTCATGATCCAGGTCAGGAGATATGGATGACCTAATGTAAACCCACCCACATTTCTGAGTGTCAGTGTCAAAACGGTCTTCCAGAGAGAGGCATCAGAACCTCAACCACAA